AGGGGAGCGAGAGAGCGAGAAGAAGAGGTGTGTGTGTGTGTGTGTGTGTGTGTGTGTGCATTTTCTCATCTTAGTGGGTGCTCTCCTCTGGAGCCCAGTGCTCTGTTCATATTGAGATATTTCCTGAGCGCGTTGACACAATTATGCACACCCGAACACACGCACACACTGTTCCTCCTGTCCTCCTCAGCTCTGGTTCATCACTAATGTTCTGAACTTGACTCTCAGCAAGTTCATTGTTATTCATTTCACTGTCATCCTGAGCACCCTGTGAGACTGACTAAGTCTCCATCCCAGGTTTCCCAGGAAAGACTGTGTTTGACACACACACACACAAAAACCTATTGTTTCAGCAGCAGGATGTCTGTAGTCCTCTGGGTGCAGGTGTGTGCTGACTGTATCAGAGGACACTGTGAGACGCTGCAGTTTGTCAATGACCTGGTTCCGCTGCAACCAACTACTGCAAAGTTCAGTTCTCAGGTGATTAGATACAGCGAGAGCAGATGTACAGAGTCTTCCGTGCAGGATTGTATTGTCTTTATTTTGGCGAGGCATTGAGGGTGGATGCTAAATATTGAGTTTCAAGTTTCATTTATTAACGTCTGACAAAGCAGGGGCAGCATAGAAACACAGTAAATCCTGAAATAAATCAGACATAACAGTGATCAACATAATAGGCAAAAGCATGAAATAAAGATCATAAAATAAATAGGTTATTTATAAAACATTTTAAGAGCACCAGGAATAAAGGAAAATCCATGTCTTTTGGTTCTAATCGTAGCTCTACTAATTCCCTGCGCTGACAAAGGAAGTATAATCTGATTTTCTGTTTGACTGCTAATAATTTCCATCTGTGTTCATTTTATATCACATAGAAGCAAATAAAACTCTCACTTGAACTTTTTAGGTGCTTTAAAGTTTTCTTATATCCCATGAAAAAAAACAACAATTTCTTGAGCCTTCTTTTTTCCCTCTTATTCTGTTGCCCTTCTCTGTCTCGTTTCTGTCTTTCTTTCTTTCTTTCTATTTTTTTTTACTTTCTCCTTCTGGCACAAGAAAACCAGGGGCAGCAGTTTGCTTAACTGAGTCCATAAAGAGGCGTTTTAAGAAGCTGTGTTAACAGACCAACAAAGCTTTAAATGTGTCCCCCTCTGTGAGGGGGTGGTTCCCATAGGGATGTAGCGTGGCGCTCCATTGGCAGGCCTCTATCCGGCCTCTCATTCAGCCCAACGCTCAGTCACGGCCACTTATGGTAGGAGGGAAAATCACACAATTCAGCCCAGGCCTGATCCAATGACATGTTTTTTTAATGAGGTGGCTCTATGTCTTTGTTTGGGCACCAAATTCATGTCCAGACCTGCGCCTGAATAAGATGCAAGGCCATGGCCAGGCATAACGTACCAAAAAGAAGCACAAAGAGCCTGGCTTCTGTTGAGCCAGTGAATAGCTCTCTACTTTGCACTGTTCCTCATGAGAACCTCACTGGCAGCAAGCATGCAGATTCTGAGAATTTATTAAAAAGTTTAATTTCTTATTGCTTGCAGTGTTTTGTGCAATGTCATCTGTATAAATCTCATTTTAAAATTGTGGGATGAAAGGTGTGCGGTGCTGAAGGACAAGATTAAACCTCTTGTTTATTTTTAACAGAAGAAAGTGGCGCTCCAAAAAAAAAGCACCAATTCTAGCCCCTCCAGTTATTTTTTTCCAGGGTCGTACACAGAGAGATTTCTTTTTCTTTAATTTTCACCGGCCGAGTGTCTTTTTCACAAGGCGCCACACCATATATCACACATATATGTGCATGTGTCATATGGTGTGTGTACATCTGCGGGCGTGCCAGGCGCTCACTGGCTTGTATGTTCAGGGGTGAGGACTGTCATTAAACTGTCTGCCTGCATCACCAGACTCAACCATCACCCTGCCTGGCTGTCCATTCTGGGCTCTTGAACAACACACACACAGATTCACTTGGCCATCAGCCAGGATTCACATACACAAAGCATACACCATGTCTCCTCACATTTGACACACAACTGGTGTAAGATTTGGACGGCTGACATTGATGCTGATTTTGATCTTACATCTGCAGACAGCTAATACTTTGTGCCAGTATTTACCTTAATTTTTTGAATTTCATGCCAAATAAATCACAAACACACAGTGTTCCCACGTAGAATTTTCTTATTTGCAGGGAAATATTTTTTTTTCAGTGGTATCCAACAGTTTTGGCTTATAGAAGCTTACATTAAGCAACCTCTACTTGTGAGCCCTCATGACGAAAATGTGAGAATATGAGCAAAAAAAGTTTTCCATATTTTACAAGAAAATAAAATTGAGAAAGGTTTGAAAAAAAATTGTATAACAAAGATTTCTTTTTCTTTTCTTTTTTAAAAATCCCTTTACTCACCTGGGACCCTTCAGATTTGTGTAGGGCCCCTTTGGGTGTCCCGACTCCCAGATTTGCAACCGCTGGTTCAGATCATTGTGTGACATTAAACATTTACATTGAAACCCAGAGTAATGAAAGACTTCTGGGGTGAATTAGTAGTTTCGTAACGCAAGACTACTACGTCCAGTTGCAGTCTTTGATGAATTTATTTATTAAATAATAACAACAATAAACTAAATTCATTAAAATTTTATTAAATATACAAAATAAAATAAAAACCCACACCATTTAACACCACAACACACTACTCTAGCCCAATGAATCTGCCTGCCTGGATGCTGAAGTACTCTTCTAGCCTCTAAAACAACCAACCCATCAGCCAGACTACTTGTCTCTCATTTAGTCCGACTCACGTGTCACGTTCAAGGTTGTGGTAATGGGGAATTAGTATGCAGAGAAGCAGACAGAAGGCCATGTGGATCTAATAGGTAGCCAGACTGGAGAAGAAGACTGGAATGGGGTGGGGGTAGAATGGGGAGGGAGTTAAGCACGGCCTCTCACTCACTTCTCGTCCTCCTATCCTCCCGCTTGCCTTCCTTCTCCTCTTCATCGCCTCGTTCCCCATGCCCTGTCCCAAACCTTAATGGGACGTCAGACGGACAGCCTTGCCTGAATTGAGCAGGGAGAGCGGCATCCACCCCCCTTGTTGTCTCTCCGAAAAAAAGAAACACCCCCATCCCCCTACCTTCCCCCATTCCCCTCTCTCTCTCAGACTGCTAGCACCCATAGCTGCTCCTTGGTTCTGAGGGGTATTGAGGGGGTCCCAGACACCCTCCACTCTTCAGCCCCTTCAGCCTAACTCTGCATAAATTAGGCACGTCTCCCTGGTGTCTCGTCAGCCGGTCGGGGCACCCCTGGCCCCGGGTCTGCCGTCTCCCAATCTGCTGCTCTTCTCCCCTCATGCTGTCACCTTCTGGCTCCCTCCACCTCCCCCATCTACTGTATTCTTTCAATCCCCGACTTCCTCAAGCTCAAATCGCACCCTTCCTTTAAGTATCATCTCCTTTCTCGTGTTTGCAATTTCTTTCAAAATCACTATGGCTTCCTCCACTTCCTCTTCTTCTTTCCCCCCCCTAAATCCCTTGGTGGACACTCACTCCCACCTTACCTACTTTATATTCTCCACATTCTCTCTCTCTATCTCTACTTTTCTTATCCTTCCAGCACTGTTACCCAGATCAGCCAAGCGCTCTCCTCTTCTCTCCTCTCCTTTTCAGCCAGGATATTGTTTACATCTGTCTTGCTAATCACTGGCAGAGCCTCTCTAGACCTCACAGATGTTGCAATAATACAGGGGATTAGTGGGCTTAACACTCGGGCTTATTTGGGGAGTTTTCCCGATGGCCTGGCAGGGGAGCCCGTCAGCTCCTCTGAATTTGACCTTTTTCCTGTTTCGCTCTGTGCCGAGATCCTGCAGTCCCGCTTCTCTTTGATTTGTGATTTTTTTTTTTTTTTACAAGCGTCTGGCATGCTGATGTTGTTTTATCCAGATTGGTGCTCTGGGCTCTCACTTCCTGCAGCTACATCAATGCTTGGGTTAAATGCAATTACAGAGCTAAACTGCTTGACATATGACAGGGAGTACAAAGGTTTAGCAACAAATACTGCTGTTTTTTTAGCTTCTCGTTCACCTGCTGCAGTTTGAAAAAATATAATGCCCATAAAATCAGCTGTGCATATTCGTACCATTTGCATTATAAAATATTTTATCGATTAAAGCTGCCTTACTGATTTATTTGTATTTCTCCGTTATCCTTGCAACACTATGATGTAGCTAGCTAGCACTGTGTTAGCTGCTTTCTCTGCTCACCATGGTGACGCATGAACCTCCCCAGTCTCCTCTGCTCTTCTCTTTAACTCAGCGCTGAAATATAATTAGATGGCCCTCTCAAACTCAGCATCTCTGCTGCTTCTCTGTGCGTCACGCAGTGTGACCGAGTCCTGTTTTATGACCAAGCAGATCCAGTGTCTGAGACACTCGCTGTGTGTGTGTGTGTGTGTGTGTGTGTGTGTGTGCGTGTCTTTGGGGTCAATGTATTTCTGTCTGGATCCTAATCCCAAAGGTGATATTAGTCTGGTAGGGGGCAACCCATCCCCCCGTGTGTGTGTGTGTGTGTTTGTGCTGCAGGCGTTGGTTTCAGCCAGGAAGCTCAGACAGGCTCTGCCTTGACCTTTGACCCATGACTGTCTACTAGCTCAGGGGTCATGCACACCATTGATACAGACAGCTGATAGACGCACAAACAAACACACATGCACACACGTATGTGCACAAACGCGCGGCCTCTCCCCCCTTGCAGTAAACATTAACAGTTTGGTGTGTCTGGAGAGATGATGACACAAACAGCATCATCCCAGCTAGTTGTATGCAGAGAGCGCATGTGCATGTGATTTAAGCACAGATAGTGATTCCTCATTTTCATTCTGCTGGATATCCAAGCATAGCGATTAATTTTATTTTGTTTGAGGACACCCAGAATTAGAGACTTGCATAATTTAAGGAGTCTTCTTTTGATTAATCACACTTTTTTATTTGCTTATGTCTTCACAGATGCAGCGTGCCAACAATTTCACCACGGAGATGAAAAGCAACAATTGAGCTTCCACCATTGGACCTTACTCTGACAAAGCACATATGCCGTCTGTAGCCTATTTCTCTGAACATGTTTTCCACATATGGAAAATGCCACCTCTGCACTCGTGAGAACAATCAGACACACAGTGTCAGAGTTTGATTATCAGTTCTCTAGTCTGCGGTCTTCGTGGATGTGGACAGGTAAGTTGGAGCTTCTGAGAGGTAAGTTTAGAGGTTGAATCAATTTAAAAGCTGTCTGAAGTGTAAAATGGAGCTGCCGTGCAATATTTTCCAAAATTAGTTTCATTAGATATGGATTACTATATTTGAGACCAATTTTAGGTCGGATATTGGATGAGAGCCCAAGGGGTCCTTCTTTTTCCTAAGTAATTTACCTTCAAGTATTTAACTGGAAAATTGTTTGACAAGAGTTTGTCGCTGTTGAATTACTTTCCCCTTTTCTGTGGGATGTTATGTACTTGCACATATTTATAGAAACTTTTTCATAGTGTAATGAACTAATTTATCATCAAATTTTGGATGAGATAGCAGAATGCCAAAAAATGTTGCCCTGATATGTTTTCAATAAAGTGGAACAATTTGTGAAATGAAAATTTGTCTGTCTTGTTTTTTTCTTCCATTTCCTATTTAATTTATGTGTTTCTATGTATGTCACTAATGGTTGTTTTATGGCTGCGATTATACCTGAACCTTACAGTTAAAGGACTACTATTACTATTAATTATAACTTCTTGTGTATCCACAGCTTGATGTATCTTATTCCTCTGTGCAACAGAGCCCCGTTGTTGTCAAACTGTTAAAAACACATTAATGAGACACATCCTGATGTGTCCGTTCATTACAATAAACAAATTAACTGTAGCTTATTTCAAGTTAGCCCCACATTCTATCCTAAATACTCACTAGAGATCCAAATATATATTCCTATACGGCTGAAAATGGTCCCAAACAAAAACAGTATTTACTCCTGTTTGAATCAATTTTTCTAAAAAAACTACAGTGCCCAACAGTTTTTGTAATTTTTTAAAATGTTTTTTTAAAAATTAAACTATATAACTGTGACCTGACCGGGAAAGCTGGGCTGAAAGTATTCAGAGACGGTCTAAGGAATTGTTGGATGGGAGCTATTTGGGACAATGGGACAACCATGGGACAATAACAAAAATATAGAATATTGCCAGCCAGTGATGCGTCATATACAAGTATCATCTCAGATGTGGTATGAGAAGCTGTGGGAGCCTGTTCACTTCGATTACTCTGATTATTCCAACAGTGGCTGAAGGGTTGTAAGGGGAACAGTTAAACCTAGTGGCCTAAATCTGTGGTGTCAATTAGGTGCTTTTGTGTGTGAACAGCAGGGGTGTTGAAACGAGTTGCTGGAGCTGAAGGAAACTCTGAACAATGATACACATTCATAAACACACACACACACACACACACACACACACCACACTCTTGTCCTATGTTTTGTGGGGGATCACACCTCCTTTTGTTTTCCCCCAACAGCCAGCGGAGGCGATGCCCCAATGCCCCCGGTGTGCTCCACTGCTCTGGCTGAAATGGGCTCCCTTCTCCCCTCTGGCCCCCCACTCTCCCCTGACAACACTGTCCCCTCGCTCGCTATGGGTTCCCCCAGCCCTTGCCCTCCCCCTGACTGGTTCTGACCTGAAATAAGGGCAAGGCAAGCCTCCATGGCCAGGCCAGTATAAAAGGAGATCTGTGTGTGTGTGTGTGTGTGTGTATATGTTTGCGTGCCCCTGTGCACCATGGCCCTGAAAGAAAGTAGGAGATTATCCCATTCTGTGTGTCCAGTCACCAGTGCAGTATTGACCATGGTGGGCCACCCAGGGAGCGTCCAGCCAGCCGTGAGATGGCCTGATATACATGCTTACTGGCCATGCTAGATTCCCCCACTCTCACCAGGGAGAAGGCCTAAACCCAACGGGGTGGACGCTTTCTGAAGACACTGGAGCCTGTGTGCGGAGTGACCCACCCTCCATACCCAGATGCTCACACACACACACACGCACAAACCCACACACACACATTTCAGCGTAGCCTCCATACAGTGAAAGACATTGCCATTGGGTCGTTTTCTGTGTCCTGTGAGGCGAGGCGGGGGTCATTGGCAAGGTGGAAAACCTCTTTAATGGTGGGAATGATACCATAACACCTATAGATAGAGTTACGGATCATGTCACACACAGTTTGTATACAGTGTACAACTCTGACAGCGAGGCCTGCTCATTCCTAATTGTAAATGTGAAGGCGACTGTGAAAAAAATGTAGCTTGTGTTGAAAGATAGATTTACTTGTTTCTTTTTTTTTTTTTTACCACATACTTATATATACTTTACATATTCACACATAACTGATCTATATTTATTCTTTTCTTTTAATATGGCCGTACAACACCCTTGTGCTCACTCCAAAATATATTATAGTCCATTAATTTCCCCAGGATTTGCTATTCTACATGTACTGATGGCACCATCAGTACATGTAAACCAAGAAATACAGTAAATAAAACACATCATATTTAAGTTTTTGTGAATTAAACTTAAAGCTTTTTACCTTGCAAACATACAGATTAAAAACACTTCCCCTTAGAGTTTATTAGAACGCTTTCCAACCGGTCCACTACGCTGGTTTGTAACAGCTCCGTAAAAGCAGCTCATTATTGACCTTAACAAACCCACAGGGGTCAACTAATTGTCTTTTAATTGCTCAGCTGTTTGTTTGTGGATGGAGAGTCTGTAACATCCTGGCCCTATAACAACACAAAAGGCCTCTAACAGCAGGACAGAGATGCACAAAGCTCACTAGCAGTAAAAACAAATAAGAGAAACTAACACACACTCCTTCCTATAAATTGGGATGATTAAGGAGTTATGGTGTCACAATAAAGCAATGGAAATGAGAAAATGTAATTTATTCTTTCTTTGTTTTGATTTGATTTTTCCTTGATAAGCTAAACGTGTTGGAATAAACAGGCTGCCATTTAAAATGATGAAAGTGTTTACATTAAATACATTTGTATCATGTTATTTATGCAATGTAAAGAATAAAAAGCTTCATATTTCTGCTGTAATAAACGTGGGCCTTCAGGTTTTTTAGCATATATATATATATATATAAAAACAATATATAAACATTATATATATATATATATATATATATATATATATATATATATATATATATATAATGTTATATATTTGTTTTTTTACACACACACTTTCTGATTGGCCAAATTTGCTCACAAGTCAAATTACATAAACAGCACAGAAAGATGCACAAAGGAAGACAGATTTAATTAATAACAACGAAAGAGGAGAAGGAACAAATCATCTGAGGACATTAAGTGGTTTAATAAACACAACATAAAATGCTGTTACTGGTTCTGATGAGTAAAAAACTATTGTGCTCAAATTGCACTCACATTAGCCATAATAACCAGTCCTTTATTTTTATGGTGGTTTTATGTGAGAGTGGTTCATCAGTTTTTTTCTTTCTAGATTAAAAAAAGGCTAGCTTTATTTCCATAGATGTTGAATAATATTGCATCTTTTGAGATATTAAAATTAAAAATGAGTCTGGGGCTTTTTGTTATGATACTGTAACATACTTCAAAACCCAGAACGGTTTAATTTTCCAAATTGGGTTCATTGAATAGTATCTTAATTGTCCATCATAACACAGAAAGAGCACATTTGTGTGGAGTGTATTCGCAAGAAAATAATATAATATACAACTCTCATTAATAAGGGTCCATTACACCCACCATAACATACGTATCATCAAATCACATAAAACAGTCCAGTGTTAATAGTACGTGTTTATTTTACACTTACACCTGAACAAAACATTACACACATTATATCTGTGCCTCCCTAGAAGGAGAACATAAGACAGAACATGTGGTATGTAAAACAACAGAACACAATGGAAATTAGGTGTTTTTGTTTTAATTTAAAAATCGTGTTGATGCGGCGATAGAGTGCAGGGAAGCAGAAACTGAAGGACAAAATACGCAGAAAGACTGTGGATGAAACCTACTGCTTTACAAACTATGTGCAGTTCAGATTTTGTTTGTTAAAAATATTTAAATAAAAACTTGTGCTGTTGTAATTGTAACAACAGCTCTGTGTATCTATGTGTGTGTGTGTGTGTGTGTGTGTGTCTGTCTCCCCGGCTCCCCTGAACTTGGTAGCCCCCCAGACACCTCATAAAATCTGTACGCTCAGCCCACAGTGCACACAGAGGAGCAAGTTGAGGGTAAAGGGTTTGCCAAAAATGGGATATGGTGGAGTCAGGACGTTGGGTGGGACAAATGGAGTGGTGGGGGCTGCTTTAATAAGTCCGAGAACTTGGAGACTAGTTTGTCATGATAACTGCGGCGATGCCATTGAATGTGGACACAGGGAGCAGAAGGTTCACAGGACCCCGGCCATTCTCATGCAAAGTCTGTAAGAGCCTTCTCCTTCGTCCGTCCACCCACCCGCCAACCCCCACCCCCAGCCTTTACTCTTGCAGAAGAAATACATACATGTTTATAAATGGGCACACATTCTGTGAGGCCTGGGTAGGGTGCCCCTTCCTTTGTATGCATGTGCTCCGCCTGCAAATATGTGAAGTTACAAGGTGTAACAATGGAAATAAATCCGTTTGGAAAACCATAAAAAGACAATCACAAACAAAATATGCTCTCTGACTTGCATGAGGTTATATGTTAGATGTTTTAAATATAAGGAAACATAAACATCTCTCCCTGCGATGAATTAAAACACTGCATCTCAGCAGCAGTCAGACAACAGGCAGCCAGGTGCATATACGTACTACATCATCATAATTGTAGTGTTCTAATTATGAGAGAGGAATGCACCACAGTTCACATTAACACTCATCTTAACTTCCTGTGACCTTGACACTACCTTGACAGGCAGTGGCATAAAACTGACCCCATTTCGAGACTGATTGCGAGGAATAATTTAGTGCTGCATGTTCCAGACAAACACAAGTTCTATTTAGATTTCTATTTCTGCATCTCTATTAAATCATTCCCTGATTCTTATTTCTGCTTGCTGCTAGCCTCCACTGCTCACCTCTCATCTGTTTCACCTGATCCTGAGATCGTAGGGGAAGCTACAACTCATTTAGTGTTGAATCTGCTCAAATGCCAAGTGGTGAAAATGTCAGCTGCAGTGCGAGCGCGTACACCTATACATTTACTCTCTTTAAATGCAAACACTCCATGCAAACGAATACGTTAACCCCCCGAGGGGCTCGAATCAGTGAGGACAAGCACATATTGTGTGTGAGTGAGAGAGTGTGTGCTTGTGTGTGTGTGTAGATGCCTAGATTTATGTGCTCAGATTTATGCGTACTACAGTTTCACAACCAGGGATTGAAGGAGTCTCCATTTGTATATGTGTATGTGTGAACGTGTGTGTGTGTGTGTGTGTGTGTGTGTGTGTGTTTGTGCCCCCTCATCTGCACTTGGTGCCGCAGTTTGGAGCCTGTATTTGATTGAGTGAAGGCCAACGCAGCCTGAACACTCCCTCTAATGGAAGAGTGGAGCCCAGCAGCTCAGTAATGCACTGACCCCAGAGCTTTTACAACGCTGCCAGCCGATAAGTGGCAATATGCTGGATCTTATAAAATTAACAAGACTGAGCTCTGGGGGTGGCGGTGGGAGAGGACGACGTACCTATAGCACTTGTAAATATCAGCATGCATCCATGGAGGGATTATAACTGTTTTATGGTTGCTGCAGCGTGATTAGGTATTTTTTCACACATTTCTTGGCTTTTTTAAGGCAAGTTTATGGGGATGCGTTTATAGGCCCGTTTACGTTGGATAAAATGTCTCTCAAGGCGTTTTAATGCCGGTGAATTTATGAAAGATGCCAGGTGCTTGAGAAGCTAACACTGAGCTGACCTTCAAAGGGACGGCAACTGGATTGCAGCCAGTGTGGCTTTTGCAGGGCACCACAGGGGTGTGAACAGGTGCATGTATGCATATGTTTACTACACAGTCCCTCCTTAGCCTCCTGTAGTGTGACATCCACACTATAAGCTCAAAGTCAAACAGCACCTGTGCCTGGTTCTGCATCTATTGTGTTTTGGGTGGGAAGGGCCTCATCTAAACAGAACAGAATGTTTTAAAAAAGAGCCCCAAAATACGTGCAAAATGACATTACAGCCGCAGCCACTGTCTCACCGCATCCGAATCTGATTTAGTTTTAAGAAAGGCTTTTTTCCTGTGTGCCTCCCAGTATAACCTCCTCACCTTTCTCACACAGGATCAGACTGGGTTTATGTGTGCGGGACGGCTGTATTTGTGTGCATTTTCGCCCATTTACTGTGCATTTGTATGTGTGTGAACAGCTATTGTCTGCAAGTGCTCCAGCAGGGGCTTCAAAGTGAATTATTCATGCAAGATTTGAATACATGCAAATGGTTCACTCCCCTCTCCTGGCACAGATCCAGGTTACCTATGGCAACGGCGCCTTCAAGAAGCATCTCTCCACCCCTCCTCCTCCTGCTTCTCTCAGGCACCCACCCTCCGACCATGTTATCCACCCAGTGGTATTGTTTCAATTGTTGCAATACCAGGCTGGGTGGCTGCACACTGTGGGGTGGCAGGATATCCCATAATTCACAGTCAAGGTCATGTAGGCAGGAAAGGATGAGAGATGGAGGGATGGAGGGTGGACAGATGGCAGGAGGGCAGGATCCCTCCATCCAGACGTGAAGTTCAGGAGACGACACTGAGCCGCTGGTGAAGAAAAGGAAGCGGTTTCAGGTGGTGAACAATGCTATCACCAATGCGACGGACCGGGCACACGCTCACCTGCTATTCAGATTTAGTCACAGCTCATGCGCACTAACCAGTGCAGCAAAACAGGATGAGCATGGGAAAAATGACTACCTTTGAATGCAGCATACCATTACACAAATATCTTGTTTATTTTAATATATTTGAAACAGTAATGAGGATGTCACTGATAAAAGGAAAAATATTTTAAACATTTTAAATAGAATTGTACAGTATATATAAGTAACGTTGATATAAGGATTTGGGTTGATGTGTGTGTCTTCCTCTGTCTTGTTTAATCTATTTTATGGTGGAGAAGTCATTTTTTAATTTAAATCCTGAATGTTTGATGTGTGATTTAGATTTTCAATAAATGTGTTTCTGAAAATCATTTTAATTTTTTTCATTGATTATTGCTACTTGTGTCTGTGTAATAGGTATTCTTTAATTGGCTGCTTTGAAATAGTCAATAAATATTACAAAGATATCATAATATTCACAGAAGAGCATGAGTTGTATTTCCCTAAAAAATGTAATTATTATATTTCTCTTTAAATGTTCCATGATCACAATAATTGTGGTACCGGAACATCTGTGTATACAAGTAAATCGGAGAAAAATAATACATAAATTAATTAATTATTATTATTAATTAGCCTTTGTAGTGTTTTGTAGTATGAATTCACAAATTGTTCTTTACCAAATGTTCCTTTATAACATTGACAAACAACAAGCAGTATTTGCACCATTAGGAGACATTTTACACAGAATATTTGAATTAAAATAAAACACAGGAGAGTAAAATAACAATACAAGTTGTCTCAGTGAGCAGAGGGCAGGTCAAGTTCAGGCCATGAGGTGATCAGAGCCTAACTAACCTCCATAATGGTCCAGGATGCACAGCGAAGAGCAGCCACTCAATGCTGCCATCTACTGAAAGTGAAGTGATGGGTGGTCTCTCACACTCCTGTGGGCCAGATATGATTAATCAAATTGATACACTATTGTAATTTTACATTATTATATAAATGTTGGATATCATACTTTATATTTTAGATCAAACTAAAATTCTCCTCCATTTCTGAGGGAAATTGTTACAAAACACTGAAACATGCATCATTGATACAGTAGTAATGTAATCAAGCACACTTTTTCAAAAACGAAAATGAAAAGAAGTCTATGATCGTACCATTAAAAATTGAAGATCTGTGTGAGGCGAATTATGTGTTTTGTAACCAGACCTTTCCTTTTCAAATTCAAGACCGGTCTTCAACATCATCAATAGTGTGATTAGCTTTGCTTATCACATGGCCCCCTCAAGTGGACACAAAGACTCATTGCTCAGGGTTGTAGATGGACACTTTATTGCATGGTCAGTATAACTTGAAACAACCGTAAACTTACATCTTTGAAATGCACATTAGCAGTGAAATTGCTCCTTATTCACAAGAAACTTGACAAATTTAAGTGCTATGGCATATTTAGATTTTAGTTAAAGCAATGACAGCATTTGCACCACAAAAGGTAAGCACAGTAAAACAATGAAAACTTAATATGCCCAAAATAGATTTGACCATGTATTTGATTAGCCTCCACTTATTAGATATATTAATACAAGAATCACACCCCAGTGCTGGATGGAGAGTGAGACTGTGCCGTCCTGCTGACTTGATCACCCTTGTACTGTACAATCATTCGCACTGTTAATTTCTATTCCATCTGCAATGGCACCATCACTAAACTAAAGATTTAAACAGAAAAAAATATTGCATTATAACCCATACCCCTGCACAATCAGGCTATTTGAAATGATCAAAAAGAAAACAACTTAATTAAAATGAAATTTCCCTTGTTTCTAATGAGCAATAAAACTCATTAACTCTGTTGATATGGGATCACGCTGAAAGAACATTGTAGGTCAAATAAGTGCAATCTTTTATCTCTCAACACAAACAATGTCCTCCATATCCATCTATCAAAAACAAAACAGTCTTTATTTAATGTTTATCACTTCAGCCATCTTTGATGGTGCCATTATATCAAAACAAAGTTATGTTTGCAACAATTTAAAGACACTTTATTGTTGTCTCCTCACTCTGCTTCAGAGTGAATCCTTACTGAGCATTTACCAAAGTATTAGAGGCTCCATTTCTTTGTGCACAACAGATCTCCTGTCCACTCATCCAATCCTCTGACATCCTGTATGAATGAAAGGGACCGAATGAAGAGATTTATTATTGCCATATGACAGAGTTGCCCGCCTCCCTCGTGTCTGTCTCATCTGTGCTTTTCACTGTCCCTTGGTCACCCCCCACTGATTCAGTGGGTGAAGTAGCTCATCTGATGCAATTTGAGCAGAAGGCTGTGCATGATGTCAAATGTGGTGAAGCTAATTCCCACAGCAACGGGCCCTTTAAGCCAGTTCATGCTCAGGCCTTTGTACAGTCCATGTATAACTCCCTCCTGTGTTACGATCTCACGCATGGTCCCCAGAATTGTGCCGTATGATGAGCCGGTAACGCCGGCTGTCTGCATGCGCCGGCGTACCACATCCAGAGGGTACGAGGCAGATTGTCCAATCAGGCCTGCGCAGGCACCAAAAGCCAGGCGCTCATAGGGGTACGGTTGGGGCCGCTTAGTTTTTTCTAGAACAAGTGAAAGAAAGAAATAAACAAAAAAAGTTCCAACATCTGAATGACACATTTGTTTATTGATCTGAATATTTACAATGTAAACTGAATGCAGACATAAAAAGAAAATAAAAAGTACTAATGATCAGTACCTGTGTGCAGCTTCTTCAGGGTCTCATATGTGAAAAATGTGATCCCTGCATATGGGATGACACCCAGGATAGTGGGGGTGAAGCCTCTGTAAAGCGTCTTCACACCTTCCTCTTGGGAGATCCGCACGAAGACGTGCATGATGTTGCTGTACCTGTTTGAAGGAAAAGTGTCATCATTAACCAATATATGTGGTACGTATGACATCTAGTAATTGATGTGAACTGCAGCGGTCCATTTCACTGTAATGGCAAGACCATAATAGGATTTACACATACAAGGATGAGTCTGTTCACAGAGAGGGACTCATAGGTACACAGTAGTATAGATGTTGTGGGAATGTAACAAACAGGGGATATGTGCTCACATTTCTTTGGCTGTGACTGCCATCCTGGCTCGCACCATGTCCAAAGGGTAGGTGAGCATAGCAGCAGTGGTGCCGGCCAGTGAGCCAGCCAGGAAGCGTGGGAAAGGAGGCAGAGCTCTGGAAAAAAAAAACCAATACAATAGTCTGTATTAGAGAACACCATTTCATTAAAAAACCATGACTAAAGTCAGCATGCTAATATGCTCACAATGACAGAGGTAGCATTTTGATATTTAACCGGTATAATTTTTAGGCCTGCCATGTTCACCATCTTAGTTTAGCGTGTAAGCTTGCTGATTAGCACAAAACAAAGTACAGCTGATGGGAATGTCACTAGTTTTGCAGGTGTTTGGTATAAAAAGAAAGAAAAAATATGTTTGACCTCATGATGGCGCTAGATTAAAGGTAAGGGGATTAAAGCTATTAGGAATCATCCTGTGGGGAACATGAATATCTGTTAAAAATTTCAAAACAATCTATACCAACGGTTGTTAAGAAGATTCAAGTACAATAACATTCATTTTTTAAAATTCTTTCATACTAGACCAAAGTGGTGGACCGACTGACCCGACATTGCCATCCACAGAGCTGTGCTGACGTTTCCATGATGTTTGATTTTAAAATAACTTTACAAAAACATTTCTACTGAAAGACAAACGGTCTACTCACTTTCCCTGGTAGCCGTAGTAGCCCCCCAGTCGTTTTTTGTACTGTTCATGTGAGCAGAACTGGATGGCAGCATAGGGCATGACCCTCACCATGGTGGCAGAGTTCCCCCTCCACAGACTGAGCAGCCCATCCTTCATATAAGTGCAGTAGATGATCCTAAAGGCCTCCTGGGGGTAATTTATATGTTGGGTCAGGAGAAGAGAAAGATGTCCTTCCCATTTACCATATCTAATAATCTTCATATGTTCAAGGTATACATTCACATGTAGTCTCTAGGACTAAATGAGCAAGTGTGTGAGTGTGGCTGTAAAAACAGTACTACAGCAGAGATTTGCCAGATACATTGCAGAGCTCCCACTAAGGCTGTTTTTAGTATTGATAAATATATTTTTAAAATCAACTGTATAAAATACTAAAAAGACAAGCACAAACTCACCTTAGCTGAGAATCTGTTTGAGGAGACTGTAGAACAACAAGAGACACAGTGAACCTCAGGGTTAAAAATTACACTCCCATGTAGGCTGAACATCTACTAAGAGGATTAGCACTTAAAAATAGTTGCAACATTCAGTGAAAACTCTGTTACATACACAAGAACAGTAGTTGCATTTTCCGTGGTGTGAAATACAAATAAACAGAATTTAAGGCACCTATACGTATACAGAGTAGCCTATTGTATGTCTGTAGAGTCTGTCTTTGGAAATGTTTATGTGGAGTGTTGTTCTTGCCTTGGAAAATGATCTTGGTCCGATCCAGAGGGGCAATGACTGTTTTGGCTACGGCTCCAGCAAATGCCCCACACAGCAGGGAGTCCAGCGCAGTCCATCTGGGTCTCAAGTCCTGTTTGGAAACACAGACATTGCATTACTTCAGGAAACATCTTGTCTCAATAAACTGTTACTGATAACAAAACCCTAACACTGGCCCTTAACTCCAGATAACTGTATGACCTTACGCTGGCTCCTTTTTAAAAGTGTTGACAGAGTATTTTTAAAAGTGAGTACACCCTTCACATTTTTGTAAATATTAAATTATATCTTTTCATGCGACAACACTGAAGAAATGACACTTGGCTACAATGTAGAGTAGTGAGTGTACAGCTTGTATAACAGTGTAAATTTGCTGTCTCCTCAAAATAACACATCACACAGCTATTAATGTCTAAACTGCTGGCAACAAAAGTGAGGACACCCCTAAGGGAAAATGTCACAACTACTTTACATTGTATCAAAGTGTAATTTCTTCAGTGTTGTCAGGTGAAAAGATTATCAAATATTTACAGAAATGTGAGGGGTGTACTCACTTTTGTGAGATACTGTAACACATAAACTCCCATATCTATCCCTCAGCAAAGTTACTGTGACAGAAAAACAAAATCTGCACATGGATTAGAGCCAGAGTGACTCAACTGAATCACAAGCGATAATACCAACTGGCACGACACTGAAGCAGCGCTGTTTGTGCATGTGTGTGTTTGTGTCGGTGCACAATCTCACATGAGCATTCATTCAGCTGGAAGGGACAGTTGAACACACTAAACAATCCCACTCACTGATAAGACGAGCAAGTGGCACGAATAACAAACATTTTTCACAACTCGAAGCAGAGTAGGGAAGATACAATTTTTGCATTTAATTCATTTACATGTATAATTAGGTTTTTTATGTATTGTAAATACAACAGCATCATATATATATATATATATCAATAAACTTACCTACCTAGCTATACTGTCTGGGGTCAACTGCTGCCAACCAGTGGGGGAGAGTAGCTAAATTTGGAGTTTTTTCCATTTTCGCTACTTTATACTTCTACTACATACATTTCAGAGACAAATCTTTTTTATTCCCCTACATTGATTGGATAGCTGCAAACTGTGGTGGTTACTTTGCATGTTCAGATTAAAACTACAAAATATCATCAACAAATAACTTATTATGTAATATTAGCACTGTACTTATGTATTGTAATGCATAACCATGAGTATATCTACACTGTGGTATTGCTACTATACAAGTAAGTACAATATCTACGTACCTTTTCCACCTCTGCTGCAAACATTGTTAGCAAAATTAGCTATTATTTGGTAACGTTACACTGATCATATCTTCGAATAAGCTCAGCTTTATAGAAAAGAAAGATTCTCTAAATATTGTCTTGTCTACTGGCACACCCTAAACCTGTGATACTACAGTGAACATCTGTCATGATTCCTCTTATTCAATACAACCTACTGTATTGCTTTGTAAACTAAGGCCAGCTTTAGATTAGCTGGCACCTGCCTGCTATTAACAGCAATGTACCAGTAGAGGCATGCCCCTTCTAAGTATGCATATTACCAGAGCGGCTCTTGTCACAACAACAACCACCACCACTACCCAATAATAACACTGAGCCATGCCTTAGAGTCACGCAGTACGGTTTATATTAGGGTTGATCATAATTAAATCACAGTGGGATAATGGAACAATTTCACAAATGGCGCTTTTAAAAAGGAAGTTATGTTTTTTTTTTTTTTAAATGCACACGGCCTAAAAGTACAAGTCAGTTGTGCAGAGTGCAGTAGCTCTAACGTGTCAAGAGAATAACAAGTGAAATATTTAATCATTTCTACTCAAGCAGAACATGTGACTAAGTAATAAGAAAAACAACACTCACCTTTCCTTGGCTGGACGATGGGAGAGCCAGCACAGTGGTCTGGGCCACTGGCAGACGGCTCGGATGGTTGCTCACAGTGTGGGCCATGTGTGCCCTTCACAGGCTACCAAGGCTGTCCGACACCCGAGTCGCTCATTCAGGAAATCCCACTGCAGAGGAATATTTATGAGAAAATATGTAGGGGCAACTAAAAAAGACACAAAACAACAGCCCGCCGTGTCGCACTGCCTCAGTGTGTTTATTATTAAGCGAGGCCGTGATTGCACGCACGTCCACAAACAGCCTGGTTTGTAAACAGGGCTGCATTACAACAGCTCTGCCGTTCATCTGCTGTTCCACCGTTACTTTTACACACAAAACCAAACACCGTTTTTATGTATCAATCATCGATCTGGACCACTTGTCAACGTCCTAAAACGAATCGGTACCGACAATAAGTTAATGACCACACCTCAAATAAATAAACTGCGAATTATAGTTGTGTATAAGAATGAATAAACAGGCCTAAGCATCGTTAGTGCAGTTACATCTAGACGTTCACTGAATAAATGCTGCATTTTGTTACCTTCGTTTGTGTTTAAAAGGACCCTGCGTTTACAGATATTCGATGTGTTGTATCAGTCACCAGTCTGCCCTGCAGATTCTTGCACACATTCCTTGCTTGATCGCTGGAGGCTGGTCTGTCGATCTTAAAACTTGCAACACGCTTCAGGTTGTCTGCACGTCTCTTCGCGTTGTTGTCGTTTCTGAAGATGACCGTAAAAGACAGGTGTCAAGCTGCGGCAGAGAGGGTTGTCTATTTATAGGCGGCGGCTGCAGGGGAGTTCTGCTACTGCCTGGTTCTACGCACGAGATTATTTGGGCTTTCCAAGGTCTTAAAGAAACTGGGACAGCGTATGCCAATATTTTGGACTACATTACCCATGAGCGAGTCCAAACATTCGGATGAGATCTCGCGAGTTTATGTACAACATTGGGTTGCCAGGTTTAGTGATGTGTTACATAAACTGCATTCGTGCTGTTGCAATGATTAAATACTTGGCAGACAGAACAGAGTATTTTTGACACAAACAACAACTACAAATTACATGAAATAAAAGTAAAACTAATTTATCATGATCTGCATATCAAGAGTAATCGACTAATCAGTTTATACCTAGGTCAAATATAATTATTAATTTCAAGAACGATCCCTTTTGGAGTGTTAAATAACTGACTTTACATTATCTTTAAGAAATACTTTTGATGTTGATATTAAGGGTGACCCATAGTACCCCATTTGATTAGCTCTGCATATATGTTGAATGAAGTGATGTTTTGAATATAAAACCTAATTCTGACAATTATACAAGGAAATGAAAAATTCTATAATTCTCAGTGAAACGTAATAAACTGACAGTATTATGAAAACAAGTTATAACAAGATGTTTTTCCCGTTATAACAAGCTATTTTCACAACATTACGACATAATAACTCCCCGTTAGTACAAGTGATCACATTATAATGTGAAACATTTATGTTAGAATAACAATACGTTATCACGTTATAACATGAAATATCACATTATAACATGATAAATAGTATATCATTGATGTGATACGTTCGCACATCATAATAACGCACGTATCTTGTTATGACATGATAAACATAGTAAAATTTATACGTTATAACATGATACTGATCCACTTTTCTTTTTCTGGTTTTGCAGCAATATACTGCCATAGAGTATAATGTCTCACAAAATGGAAATTTTTCAAAGCACACATGTCTCACAATAAAATAGCTGCTGCCCTTGAGAAAAGTATATAATTTATACATTGTCTTTATTTTTTAATAAATGTACTTTTAATGTAAAATTATTCTAACTGGTACAACGTATGTTAGTCTTTGTTAGTGATACATGGTTAAATGTTTTCTAAAAAGAAGAAGAGCAAACAAAAGCGATGGACTGGGGCTTTGGACGATTTGGTTGTGGGTTCTCCATGACCTAACCTGGCATCCCGGGAGCCTGGCCATAGCGCTGAAAAACTTGTTGTTGTCGGGGAAAATGGCGTCAAATGTAGAGGCCCCCGAGCGCTGGTACCTCGCCCTTCTCGGCTTTGCGGAGCATTTCCGAACCTCCAGTCCGCCCAAAATCCGTCTCTGCGTGCATTGTCTACAGGCAGTGTTTCAGTTTAAGCCCCCACAGAGGATCGAGGCCCGAACACATCTTCAGCTGGGCTCGGTTCTCTACCACCACACTAAGAACAGCGAGCTGGCCCGCAGCCACCTGGAGAAAGCGGTGAGGGACGTTCGATGTAACGTTAGGAAACAACGGGGATGCGGCGGAGAAGGGGAGGGATGTAGGCCACAGGCAGCGAAAACAGAGAACGGCGGAAATCTTTATATAGCTTTTAATTCCGGAAGCCTAACTTCGTCAAGAAGTGTTAGATATGTTCGAGGTTTGTTACATATTCGTCCCGAGTCGGCCGTTTTCATTCTTTATCTGGTGTTAGCCAAATAAGCCGCTGTATGGGGATTATTATTGGTTCATAAAGATAGCAAACACCGACAGTAGGACAACGCTTCTATTTTGTGTCTTTTGTTTTGCAGTGGTTTATATCTCAACAAGTCCCCCAGTTTGAAGATGTCAAATTTGAAGCTGCCAGCATTTTGTCCGAACTCTTCTGCCAACAGGTAAGCTAATTTTTGGGTAACAATTGAAGTAACGTTCATTATTTTCGTGAGACAGAAGTAACATTAGCTTAGCGGCTTACATTCATCACTTCTTACCACCAAATGAAATGGAGACGTTATTTGCAGTCGTGTATGTCACCGTGGTACGTGCAGGGTGGGCTGACATTGCTATTTATTATTGACTATTGATCCCTCTACTTTTTCAGAATTTGGTGGACTCTGCAAAGCCCCTACTGCGCAAAGCTATCCAGATTTCACAACAAACACCATACTGGCACTGCAGATTGTTGTTCCAGTTGGCGGTATGTATTAAATATGTATGCAATAATATGTCCCTGAATGGGTGACACAGTTTCACCCACTCAGCTCATGTTTATGTGCAGGTCCAACTGTGTTTAAGTTGAAGTGAGAAATAATTTACAACTGCCTTAATACAATCCATGTGGTTTGTCTGGGTGCTGTTTGCTCACACTTGCATTTCGTATGTTTCAGTTAGATTTTGCCATACTTTGTGTCCAAATAGTAAAAGAGTCTCCACTGATGACAGGAATGTTCTTGTCTCTATCAGCAACTTCATACTCTGGAAAAAGATTTGGTGTCAGCATGTGACCTGCTGGGGGTTGGAGCTGAGTATGCCCGAGTGGTTGGGTCAGAATATACCAGGTATATGTCACTCACTCCTCTGTTGACTGAATATTTAAGGCTTTTGGTGTTAAGTGACCAAACACTCCACTCCACTCTTCAGTTTGCGTGTTTGTATGGAGGGTTTTCCTGGCACTGTCTTTTCATTGTGTGTGCAAACAAATCACACAATATGTAGTGAATTAAAGACAAAACACCAGAATGTTCCCATTACATTAATGTTTCTCAGATGTTCATCTTAGTGAACAAATTGCACTGGTGCACCCTTGCCACCAATACAACAGTGGAACATCAGTTTATAAATAACGATTGATTGTGAGAGCTTGGTGGTGAAAAAAGCTGACTTGATATTTTTGCTTTTTAGGGCATTGTTTCTCCTCAGTAAAGGAATGGTGAGTCATCTATTCTGCTTCACTTTGTCATGCTGTTTGTGCTGTTACACTGTGGCGATATAAACAGTGATTTATGTCTATACTTCTCTTGCACCTTTTTATATGTTTTTGTGTACATCACGAAACAAATAATACATCACATTCTATATTAATGCATTTTATTTTATTTTAAATCTTGTAGTTGCTGCTAATGGAGAGGAAGCTCGGGGAGGTGCATCCCCTGCTCACACTGTGCGGAACTATTGTGGAAAACTGGCAGGGAAACCCCATCCAGAAGGAGTCCCTGAGGGTCTTCTTCCTGGTCCTACAGGTCACACACTACCTGGATGCTGGACAGGTAGGAAAACCAGTCTGGAAGGGTTAGATAAAGCTAGACAGAGTTGTTCATTGCCACAATCCTTCTTCCAGCGCATGATCATGTTTAGATTCATGTTTAGTGGACGAAGAAGAGGGGCTATTCACAGACGGGTCTATGTCAATAGCCTCTTTCATGTTATAGCCTACAACACCAGCAGAACAGGTGCATTACTCACTTCTGGAAAATATTGCAGTGTGAAAGCGGCTAGTGTGTGTGTGTGTGTGTGTGTGTGTGTGTGTGTGTGTGTGTGTGAGCGAGTGAGAGGAGGGGCTGAGCAGATATATGCGCTGCTTGCAGTGCTACAATGAATTACAATTTTACCCATTTTAAATAGAAAAATGAAATTGAAAATCAGTATGTGGCCATCCGCCACAAATAAATTAATGTATGGGAAACACTGCGGTGTTTATTAACACACATGAAAAGCAGTGTTTCCCTCGGGATTTTAAGAGACTGTGGTGGGTGGGCCTCGGACCCTCTCATCGGGGGTCTGGAGGCATGCCCACCCGGAAGAAAATTTTGTCCATTGTAAAGTTAAATTCATTAATTTGGGCAAAATTAAGATGCATCCATGAAGAACTTTGTACGCTTGTAAACAATTTTGTGCTCTAATAAACTATTTAATCACAAACCCATTGTATAGCTATAAATGATGATGAATTTAAGTCTGACCAGAGCCCGACCCAACTTGATAAATAATGTTGTATGTGGTTCTTGTATGGCGCAACATGAAGACTTAATAGCGGGTAGGACACTTGTCTTTGTAGAGAGAGACAATCAGTGACAGGATAAAGTCGCTAACCTGCCTGTCAGCTTGCTCTGGTCCGTTATAGTGGATTTACCATGAAGGCTTTAATACGTGTGCACTCCAAATGTAGGCGTGGCTAGCTTAATCGCCTTCTCACAAACAAGTGACAGAAACGGACTGTTAACGTTACGGTAGTTACCTCAAAAGAAAAGTGGTCGTCTCGAATCGGATGCCAAAGTGTGTGAGCCTGCGAGCTTACAGCAGAGCGGAGCAGTGCCCACAAAACATGACGTTACAGGATCTGAAATGTTATTATAAGATTAGTAAAAATATTTTCAGTTCATTTTAAAATGGAGCAAATTAGACTATGGTGGGCCGCCATGGTCTTGTTAATTAATGGGAAACACTGAAAAGTGTTCATCAACATGCATTCACAATTTCATAAAGTGATTAGAGATGGTAAACCCAGTTTGATGTCGGGTTGTCTCAAACTGCTTGAAACTGAGGTGCGATGTCGTGCCCATGTGTCCCCAGGTGAAGAGTGTGAAGCCGTGTCTTAAGCAGCTTCAGCAGTGCATCCAGACCATTTCTACGCTTCACGATGACGAGATTCTGCCCAGCAACCCAGCTGACCTCTTCCACTGGCTGCCCAAGGAGCACATGTGTGTCCTTGTGTATTTGGTAATACCACTTCTCGCTTCTCTCTTTTTTTACCTTAAATTCAATACTCTCCCAAAAAAACACCAGGGCTGTCACTGATTAGATGGCAAAACTCCTAAATGTTTTTAGATTAGTAGCAAACTACTGGCTTCTCCAAGTTATCACACCAACCTTTCCTTCCACACCAGAACCAAAATGTATTTTGAAAGGAGAAGAAGAGGGCACAAAGAAAAGAGTCTTTCTGACTGAAGTGTCAACATGCGGTTATTATCCATTTAGGTTGCACAGAAAATGCAACCTAATAATAATAATAATAATAATAGATATTTGGGCTGCAGCTAAGTTGATTTTAGTAATCGAGTATTCTACAGATTATTTCATCAGTTCATTGAGTAATTGTATAAGAAGCACTTTTGCTTGGCG